CCCGGGAGGACCTGCGGCGTGCGGCCGGCGCGATCCAGTTGCTCCCGGGAGGGGCTCGGCCGGGCCGGACGTCCAGGTTTCTAGCCCGCCGGTGCGCGCTCGTTTTCGCCTCTGCCCTCCCGCCTCCCCGGGTGTTTCTCCGGGCGGTTCTGGGAGTTTCTCCAGCGGTCCTGCAGGGCCAGGCTCGACTCCCGGGAGCGGGTCCGCCAACCCGAGAGGAAAGCAGGCAGGGCGCCGGGTGACAGCCAGGGGCTTTGTGTCCCGGGACCGGTCCCCGGGGACCGGGCGCCTGCGCGGGGACCCTCATGTGGAAGCGATCCTCTGCCGGTTGGATCGCTCCCTGCCAGAGTATCTCCTCCTCGAGCTTTTGCGAGGACTGCACCTCGTAAAACTTGCCCACGTTGTCTCGGTCCCGCGAGGACCCTGAGAAGATCGGTCGTCAAGCAGCCCTTTGAATAGAAAAGGCGTCCGTTCCATCTTCAGACGCAGTGTGTAGTAGGTCTTTGTAGACCCTCACCTGCAGCGTACCTGCCTACCACCACCATTTTATAAAGGAGGAAGCCGGGACTAGAAAAGTGACTTAGCCAAGGTCACATAGCTAGAGTGGAAGAGTGAAGCCTTACAGATTCCACATGTGGGGATTAGATCGTGGCTCTCCCCCAGGGTGCAGAGGGGACCTGTGCAGAGCTGGGCTGTGATGGGGTGCACCCCGGGCCCCCAAACTCATTGCAGCTAACACCTGAGCTGAAAGCACGGGGTGCCTTTTCTGCCCTCTTCAGAAGTCACCGTCCGCAGGACAGAAGTGTGTCCTTCCTGTTCTGTTCCCCTGCCGCGGTGCCTTCCCCTCTGCTTCACCGCCACCACACCCCCTCTGCCTGGGATCGAAGCCAAGGCCTCCTGCGTGCTAGGCTGTTCCTCCAGTCCCTGCAAGGCTGTGTATCTTGCGCTGGACTCTGCTCTGTGCTCCTTAGAGAATTGCCTTGTACGTGCCGATGTTAAGGTGACAGATTCCCTCGCCCCTGTTTTGGGTGACTTCTCTGTAGGCTGGTGCTGAGCCCTCACCCTGCGTTCCCTGGGCAGCCCAGCTGAGCCCTTTTGCCCTTCTGTCAGAAGCTTATTCAAAACTGACCTCGGCGATGGGGTAACAGGCACTTAGCGCTGGCCGAAGTATATACAGGGACTAGGATAGCCTCCAGGGAAGATACTTTGTACTGTCGGGCAACTTAAAAGGCGTATCACTTAACCCTACCATTCCATTTCCTGGACTGTCCTTCAGGTAAACCTAATATATATGAAATGATGCATATTCATTGAATATTCATTGCAGCATTATTTTAGCAGAAAGTCGGCAACAACCCAAATGTCTTATCAATAAGGGATCCTTAAATAAGATCACGTGATAGTCATACTGCAGAATACATTAAAGCTGTTGAAAGCATAGAGGGAAAGTGCGGCAGAGATGTGTATTAATACAGGAAGGTCTTTTACTTATATTGCTCAGTGCAGTGTGCATAGCGTGCCCCACGTGCCTGTGGGCGTGTGTATGCAAGACGTATATGAATGCTTGCACACATCGTGGATATCTCTGAAAAAAAATGAAAGCCAAAAATGGTGGTGCGTGCCTGTGGTCCCAGCTACTTGGGAGGCTGAGGCAGGAGGATGGCAGTTCAAGGCCAGCCTGAGTAACTTAGTGAGACCCTGCTAAAATAAAGCCTTGGACGTAGTTTGGCAGTCATTGGTTCAGTCCCCAGTACTACAAAAACCAAGCCAGGCAGAGCCCCCATTGCCTTCTGCTGCCTGCCCCATCCCTGGAAGCAACAGGCTGTCCTGGTCCTGCAGTGACCTCATGTCTTTCTAAAAGGCTTTGCGTTGATTGATGTCCTTTGATGTGAGGCGTCAGGATATGGAGACTAAGCTACCAGAGGATCGTTATTCCTCCTCTTGCGCGTGATTGAGCCGAACATGTGCACATCGGTAATCCTAGCACTCTGGGATGCTGAGGCAGGAAGATCACGAGTTTGAGTCCCATCCAGGCAAATTAGGAAGATCTTGTCTCAAAATATAAATAAATGAATAAAAAGGATAGCAGATAGGCCTGGGTTCTCTAGTACTGCCAAAAAAAAAGGTTGGATTAAATTTAATCTTAACATTTTGTCAATTTGGGGGCAAATCCCCAAAGTCCCAGGTGATGTTTGTGTTTTTCTCTGATACGGGCACCCGAGTCTGAGGTCAGCAAAGACTCCTTGAAGCTCCTTTTCATTACCAGCCCTATCCTCAGGCCCTGCCTCCGAGGCAGAGCCTACTGACTCCTGTGGCGTTTTCGGTTCATCCAGAGTGCTGGAGGGTGCAGGGCGTGGTGGCACATGCCTGTAATCCCAGCACTTGGAGGCTGAGGCAGGAGGATTGCCACGAGTTTGAGGTCAGCCTGGGCTACACAAACAAGAGTGCTGGAGGGCTGGAGGGGCTCCAAAGCATCAGGGTGGTGGGAGTCCTTTGACTCACCTGTCCAGTGGTTTAGCACCGTGGGTGCAGGAGGATCAGGGGAACTGGGTTTCTCAAGAGTGATCATGAGTTGATGATAGTTGTGGCTGGATGGGGCACACAGCGATAACTATACTGTTCTACTTCTTATATGCTTGCGGCTGTCCAACATAAAAATTATAAAAAAGCAGTTGAGCTGGGTTTTGTTCCCAGTTTACTTCCTGATTGACCCCCGCCCCTTTTTATTGTTCTGGTAGTGGTGCTGGATAGGCAAGTGTCTCCGCTGAGCTGCCCCCAGCCCCTGCATCTGTTTCTGCCGTTAGTGACGTATTTGCGTGAGGCAGGCCTGGTAGCGCGAGATGCCTGCTACCACGACTGCAGCATCATGGGAAGAGGGCAGTTCTAGGTGTTGGGAAACCAGAATTCCTGGCTCCACTCCGCTACCCCTTACTTCTGTGTCTCGAAGCCGGTCTCAGATGTGATGAGTTCTTGCACTTGCCCTCTGTCTGGGGGAGTAAGGAGGGATGAACACACAAGTCACATGCCTTGAAACGTCAAGAGTCGTTCTGTAAATGTCAGGTGTTCGTTTCAGCGCGACCTCGCATTTCTTTCCGGGCGGTACAAGTCCAAGGTGACTTAGCAGGTGAGGCTCAACTCACGGGCATCTTCCTTAAACATCCCTCATTTTATAGCTGTTGCTTGCACCACCTGCTTCTGCCAGAAGAGCCTCCAGGCCTTGCGCTTGGCACTGGGTACCTCGCACCAGATCCGTTTCCAAACCTCTTAACCCTCCTCGCATGCCGAGGCAGGTCTAGCACGAGTCCCGGCCTCCTCCGGAGCTTGCCAGCACGCCCCGGGCGGCGAGAGGATAAGCAGACACTGGATTGGCCCAGGACTGATGTCATGAAGGTACTTGGAGAAAGCAGTCCCTCAACTCAAGGTGTGTCAGGGCTGTGCAGAGGTTAATGCCATTAAATACAGTGTGTGGGATTTTATTTCCAGAGGCCCAGAGACTGTGATAATTTGGGTTTCCCCTCTTCCTATGGAATCTGAGCAGCAGTTCTGACGGTCAGTAAGAGTGAATTAAAATTAATCAAACTCTTAACTGCACAAACGTTTGGTTCGTTCCCCTGCCCTTTTGGTTTTACTTGGGTGCTTTTATTGGTAATTCTTAGCCCTGGGCTGAATTGCAAAACTCCCAGGACCTAGTCTCAGATGTGCCATATTTTCTGTTTATAGGAGGAAAAGCAAAATCCCCCTAAAGGACAAAGGAAATCAAACAGAAAGCCTCTCAACCTCTCTGGAGGCCCTACAGGGTTCTGTTTTGTCTTTTCAGCTGTGATCTTAGCTCAGAGAAGGTCATGTTTTGTTTTGTCTTTTGTCATCCTGCCCGTTCCAGTTGGTCCCAGTCTTTCTGAGGCGGGGATGGCTGGGAGGCTACAGTGTGGGGATTGTTTGGGATGACAGTTCTGGGCGAGCCCAGCTGAGGTCATGTGTCCAGTGTCCTGAGGAGCCCAGAAGCAAGAAAATCAGATACCAGATATCAGTGTTAACTGCTGGGCTTTTCCCAGTAGGTCTGCTGACCTTGTTTTTTTGTTTTTTTTTTTGTTTGTTTGTTTGTTTTATCTTTTTGAGGCAGGGTCTCGCTATGCAGTTCAGGCTGGCCTTGAGCTCACTTTGTAGCCCAGGCTGGTCTCAAGCTCGCAAGGATCCTCCTGCCTCAGCCTCCTGAGTGCCCAGATTACAAGCGTGGGCCACTATGCCCTGCTCACCTTGTATTTTAAAGGAAAAGTCAAGATTGTGATCGAGTGCAGATGCCTGGGAAAATCTGGAAAACAATTTCACCTTAGTGCTAAGACTTCTGAAAGATTTTATAAACAATTCCTCTCACTCTTAACAATGTACCTCACTCTTTTTGAAATCAGATGTCAGGCGAACGCTCTACCACCAAGCCCTGCGCTCCACTCCTAGCCTTCCCTGGTGGGTTAAGAGCTCCATGGCTAAACAGCTTTAGAACGAGATCCCAGCCCCACTGTGGAGCTGTCTGTGTTAGTTGCTCAGCCTCTGTGTGTCTCAGTGTCCCCGTGTGAGAGTGTGAGTGTGGACACGCGTGCACACCTGTGGTCTCCAGATTGTCTTTCTTTTTTTTTTATCTTTTTGAGACAGGGCCTGGCTATGTAGTTGAGGCTGGCCTTGAGCTCACTTTGTAGCCCAGGCTGGTTTTGAACGCACAAGGATCCTCCTGCCTCAGCCTCCCGAGTGCTGGGATTACAGGCATGCGCCACCACGCCTGGCTGCAGTTGTCTTGAGGTTGTACCCACCTGACATACAGTAAGGACTCAGTGGATGATGGCCGGTGATAGTGCATGAGGAGAAAAGACAGCAGCCAAAGTCAGGTGTGAGGGGAAACCGTACTGGGGACCGAGCGCCAGGGGCTCCCTGTTGCTTGGAGGTAGAATTTCAATGCACAGGAGGCGGCTGAGTTTCCTGAGGCCCCGGGGCGCCTGTGAAAGGAAAAGGATTTAAAAACACGCTGTGCCTCTGTCTCTTCTGGATCTCACTCCTACCTGCTTCTTCCTTTTCTCATCCTTGACCTAGTTTTTTCTAAAATACATCCAGGAAGCATCTAGGGAAATTCCCGAGGCTGGAGATATTAGAGGTGTCTACTTAATTGGCTCTGAATTTGTACCAAGTTTTTTTCCAAAGACTTGTGCCCTACTCCGGGAGCTGCAGCAAAATATCCCAGAATGTTCTGGTTTGCGTCGTGTAACTTGAGGGCCAGGAGGGATCTGTTCTGAGGTAGGGTGAGCTGAGAATTGGCAGAGTCCCACCTGCGTGGATAATTATTTAGGAAGTTCGGAGCACATTTCCTTTTCACTTGCCCCGTCCCACATCCACGTAAATGTAAGTAGAATCAGGATGTTTGGCAGCCTGTCTAGGGCGCCTCCTGTCTCTTAGGAGTTATTCCCATTCCCCATTCCTTTTCTCCAGTACATTTTCCTGCTCTTAGAAAAAAAAGGAACACTGGAACTCAGGATTCTGCCTTGTTAGCTGTGTGAACTTGGGCAAATCTGTTACCCATATCTAAGCCTTTCTAAATACCGTAACCACTACTCCCGTTTATCCACATATTAACTGGCAATTGTGACCACATTATTAGTATTATTATTATACTGGGATTGAACCCAGGATGTGCTGAGCTACGCCCCTAGGCTGTTTCATTATTCTGAGAATGGATCTTGCTAAGTTGCCCAGGCTGGACTTGAACTTGTAGTCTTCTCACCTCAGCCTTCTGAGTAGCAGCGGTAGGGATTACAGGTGTGTGCTGTTATACCTGGCGCACATTCTGATTTTGAGTTTTTGAAAAGCTCAAAGACCGGGGGCCTCTTATTTACTTTTGTACGCCTGGGTCTAGAGCAGTGCCTGGCACCTAACTGGCTGTTTCATGGCTCACGGATGAAAAGTGAGCCTACTTTTGTCTTGTCTTAAAGGGAGGACCATGTTCTCCTTCTGCTTTTGTGACTTCCTGAGGTTGTCACTAAGTTCTGCCACAGGGCACCCAGCAAGCTAAGCTGGGAGCGTGACCGAGCAATGACCACTCCCTTCCCCGGCCCTGTGGCCGTCCTCTGCGGCTCCTCCCCCTTTCCCCACACGCGCTCACACACTTACCCTTCCCTCTCTCTGTCTGGTTCTTAGAGCTCCCAGGAATATCCAGAGGCTGAGGCCACCATGGCAGAACTGCAGGTGGACACCCAGGCCAGCGTAGACTGGCAGAAGCGCTGCCTGACCCTGGAAACACAGCTTTTCCGATTCCGCCTCCAGGCCGGCAAGATCAGGGAGCTGCTGGCTGACAAGGTGAGTCCCCAGGGCGAGGGGCTGCCTGGCACTGCGGGGCCTGGGCAGAGAGGGCCAGAGCCAGACTTTCGGTTACAGGCTTTTCCACACGCGTGAAGCGAAACCTGAGGCAGTTCTGATGGTGTCGAGACCAAGCTCAGCACTTCACTCCCCTGTCATCTGGCGTTCCTTCCCACGCCGCCTCTGTTCACGGCACACCAGAGAGGCGATAGGAATCTCGGTCCTCTGTCATCTCCGGAGTCGCCGGAGGCTCCAGTGGAGGCTCTGTTATCCCCTTCACGTTTCTTTGCAGTGCAGGGCGGCAGGATGTTTAGGAGAGCAGAGAGCAGGTCCACTCTGTCGTAAGCGCCTGAACTACTGACGGCTGCCTGGTTTCCTGGGGACCACGACGCGGGGTTTGGAGCCAGACCTGTCTGACTCTGCCACTTGTTAGCTGTGCAGCCCTGAACCCTCTTTCTCAAAGGCAGGGACACAGATGTCTACCTCTCAGAGTTATTTTGAGAATTACTTCATATATGCTCCTGGCACCGAATCCATCTACAATGGGAATAGCTATCTTTACAGGCCTGGGTGGCTGCTCTAGGAAACCCACCACCTTTCATACTGTCACTGTGGGAAGACACTCTAAGCAGCTGGCTTGGCCGGGCCGTGGCGCACACCTATAATCCCAGCACTTGGGAGGCTGAGGCAGCAGGATCTCCATGAGTTCTAGGCCAGCCTGGGCTACATAGGGAGTTCAAAGCCAGCCTGAACTACTTAGTGAGACCCTGTCTCAAAAAGACCAAAACAGAACTAATAGCTGACTTTTAGAGGCATTCTGGAGCATGACTTATCTAAAGAATGGAGACCTGCACTTAAAAACATCAATGTATGTGCATGAAATCATCCTTTCTCTATAGTTTTGACTCACCTGCTTAGCAAACCCTTCTTTCCTAGCACAAAGGTAAAATCCTGTTTCCAAGTACTGTCACAGTCCCTACTGATTAAGCCAAAATAAATGATCTGTTTTATTGGCCGTCCTGCAGCCTGGAGCCAGGGAGGCAAGTCAGTGGCATCGCCTCTGCATTTCCATGACCAGGCCAGTGGCTCTGGACCAACCTGTACTAGAACTTTTTTTTTTTTTTTTTCTTGGTTTTCCTGAGACAGGCTTTGCTAGACAGTTCAGGCTGGCCTTGAACTCATGGTGATCCTCCTGCCTCAGCCTCCCAAGTGCAGAGTTTATAGGCTTGCGCTGCCATACCCAGCCAGCCTGTACTAGAACTCTTAGACCTTGCCTCTGTTGGCTTTGCTGTCTCTTGATTCAGACTGTGCAAGACAGACGTGGGTGCTGCCAGATACTGTCCTGAAAAGAAGAATCCAGCCCCCTCGGGAAAAGGGCAGCTGACCTTAGACAGGAGTTCTTGAAGTGTGGTCGGAAATGCCCAGAGTGCTTGGTAGCTAAGCCAGTGTGTTCCTGGGCCCCAGCTCAGTCCCCCTGGCCCATGTCCTCAGGGTGCTGCTAATGCTCTACAGATGTACCGAGCTCCCAGAAAATGGTATGTGCTCTGTGAAGCTGGAGGAGCTTGCCTTAGGCTGTGGTATTGGGGGTGGGGTGTGAGGGCAGGAGAGGGTAGGGAGGTGTCTGCACAGAGAGAAGAAACTTCCGTTGCTAGTAATAAAGACCACAGAAATAACTGAAAAAGCACAAAGAAGCAACCCAGGTGCGGCAGTAGGCACCTGTTATCCCAGCGGCTTGGTACTGAGGCCGAAGGGCAGCTTGAGCTCAAGAGTTCGAGACCAGCCCGGACAACATGACAAGACACTGCCTCGAAAAACATGAGAGTCCAAAATGAAACCAAAACACTGTGAAACATCTAGAGAGCTGAGTACTGAGAAAAGCAAGAGCAAAACGAAGAGAGAAAATGCCAAGAGGTGCTCAGCGTGAAGCCGAGTGGGTCGGGCGCGTGGCCGGCTTGCCGTGGTGCCACGCGGGTTTGCGTCTGTCCACCTGTGGAGGCAGAGGTGGGACTGGCTGCTGGGAGGCTGGACCTGAGACCGAGCCCCCCAGGTAACGTCTGTCACGCGCACACCCTGAACGAAAGGGTGGACGTGGGGAACATTGACCCACCCGATGGCGGCAGCCTTTCAAGCTTCCTTAGGGCCTCGGGGTAGAGAAAAGCAAAAGCAAAGAGAAAGACAAGTCAGCCAGAGCTTGACACTAATAGTCGTTTCACATTAAGATTTATACCACTTGTGTGGCTTAGGAGACCTAAAGTCTGGGCCAGTGGCCCTGGGAAACCTTCTAGGAATAGACAGTGAACCTCTCTGCAGAGACCTCAATCCAGACCTCACAGGACCCACACAGAGGGGAGAGCTTTGTGAAGATGGATCTGTCATCCGGAATGGCTGCCTGCTTGGGGGAATAGCTACAGCGAGCGACAGGCCACAGCCTCAGCCACGGCCACAGCTGGACTTCGGGTAGTAGAGCTGCTGACAGCAGACCAGGAAAGAAGTCTGTTCAAAACCGGCAGAGTAGCCGGACATGGTAACTACACAGGAAAATAAAAACTCCCAACCTGAACAATGTCTGGAACGAGTTCATGGTCTCTTAAATCGAAGAATGAATTTTAGGAACAACGGAGGTTAGAGCAGATGTATTTATTGAGGGAAAGAAAGCTTCTGTCCAAGAGACAGAAGGGGGCCCGAGTGGGTTGCCCAAGACTCTGTCTTTCCCAGGGACTTCATAGAGCAAAACCCTGAGGTGAGGCGGGTCCAAGATAGGGGGAAAATGGGAAATTACAAGGTGGGCATGAGGTGGGACAAAACTATGGTCAGCCAGTAAGATTGCAAGTGTAGTTGTTCAGGTAAAATTGAGCAAACTGGGATCAAATGGGGAAGCCAGTCGCGTAGCAAGCGGGCATGAAGGCGGAACAGGGGCTTTTCCTGTAGGGGGTTGGGCTAGTGACTCTTTCTGGCTTTTTGAAGGTGGTTGCTACCTATTTAGAATGTCAATCCCTGATGTTCACACCTAGGGAGGTGTGTGGGTGCATTTGCTTAGTCTTTTGTTTTGAACTCTGGCCCACAGCAAATCATCTCTGTTTATAAGGTATCTTGTCTTGCATGTTGGCTCCTTTGAGGGCCCGGCCCTGTCTGACTGACTATAATATTCCTCTCTACTCAGCTGCCTGTAACAGTGGCACATGCCTGTAATCCCAGCACTTAGGAGGCTGAGGCAGGAGGATTGTTGCAAGTTCGAGACCAGCCTGGGCTACAAAGTGAGCTCAAGGCCAGCCTGAACTGCATAGTGAGACCCTGTCCCAAAAAGACCAAAAAAAAAAAAAAAAAAAAAATCAAAGACAGGAAGCAGTTGAAACCATGAGACAAGACAGTATCCCCAAAGAACAAGTAAACTTGAAAAACAACTAGAAACTCTAGAAGAGAAAGTATCTTCACTGAAATTAGCTTTCTTTCTGTTTTTGAAACAGGGTCTCACTGTGTAGTTCAGGCTGGCCTTGAACAGACTCTGTAGCCCAGGCGGGCTTCGAACTCACAGTGATCCTCCTGCCTCAGCCTCCCGAGTGCTGGGTGTGCGCCACCTCGACTGGCGTGAGATTAACTTTCGAATGGGTAGATTGATTCAGCATCAGATTAGGCACCGTGAAAGGTGGACGTAATGAGCGGAAGGCAGACCTGAGGAAATCATGCAGGTGCAGCTCAGAGGAACACTGATCCAGAGCTGAGGAGCGGACAGTAGCGGGAGGGGACCCTGTGCGCGCCACACGAGACTGAGTGGAGGGGAGGGGAGGAGGCGCGCTTAGAGACAGTGGCTAGAGAGGGTCCAGTCTTGATGAGGGACGTGAAGCCTAAGGTTCAGAAGGCAAAGTGAGTCTGGACAGGATCAATTTTAAAGAATTAGTTCCTCTGTTCCAGGTAGATTATAGTTTGACTGCTGGAAAGAGAACCTAAAATAACACCGGGCTAGAAGACAGATTCCTTTCTCAAGTAACCTTGCGGAAGATAAGCAGTCCAGCTCCAGGGCAGGGTCCTTTGTGTGAAGAGGCTTCACACTGATAGCGCCATTCCAACCCCTTCCCTCCAATCACGTGACCAGAGATCGCACGCATTCCTTCTGCGCTTAGTACACCCTCTGGCCAGAGATTAATTGTGTGGATGTATCAGGTGCAGGGAAGATTGGGAAATGTGGTCTTCATTCTGAGGAACTATGTGCTCAGCTTAAAGTCTGGTGTTCTGTTTATTTGTTTTGTTGTTGGTTTTTTGAGACAGGATCTCACTATGTAGCTCAGACCAGCTGCAAACTCAGGGCAGTCCTCCTGCCTCAGCCTCTTGAATGCTGGGCTTACAGGCATGTGCCACCAGTCTGGCCTGCGGTGGGCATGTTGAACCCTCTTTTCACAGGAGTAGTTGAGACCCAGGATGGGGTGGCCCTCAGCTCAGGCCACGGCTGGACGCGGCAGGCCTGGGCTGACCACGCAGGGCAGAGTTTGTTGTTCCTTCCGTCACAGCACCGCCGTGTGGGACAAGGAGCTGTGGGCTTGGGGCCTGAATACCATCAGGCTGGTGACAAGTACATTTCATCAGCTTGCTGCAGCCAGTTCTAAGGCAGCTTGTGAATCTTTGGTGTGGCTGGTGAAAGTGGATCCCTGCCAGCTGCCTAAACCCGACGCCTCCTTGGCTGATGTCACCCGGACCCTCCACAGGGAGGACAGCTGAGGACAGGGTCCGAGAGAAGCAAACGAGGTGGCCCACCCACAATGCTACTTGTCAGAGGTCCGTGTGGGGATCTGCCCGAGTGATAGGTGTCCAGCTGGGGTTAAAAGGAGAGTGTGAAAACTCAGAAAGTGGATACATCTTGGTGCACTCCAGCAGCAGTAGAGGATTAGCTTTCATAAAAATGAGGGAAATAGGGCTGGGGATATAGCTTAGAGGCACAAGCGCCTGCCTGGCAAGCGCAAGGTCCTGAGTTCGATTCCCGGTACCAAAAAAAAGGAAGCGTGAAGTTGAAAATACACTTTTCAAACAAGGACAGCAGAACACTAACTGTCGAGGGCAGTGGCGGATACGCAGACGCTGACTGTGGTTTTCTACGACAGTTGTAGATACTCAGAATATCTTCAGTGCTCAGGAACTAGCTCTAGAGAAATCTCCTGCAGCGCAGAAGTGAATGCAGCATGCCTGAGTGTCAGCTGTCCTTGGCGGGAGGACAAGAATGGCTGGAGGGCGGCAGCGGGAACAGCTGCGCGTGGGCCTGGTGTGGAGGATGCCTGCTGTGCCCGCCCTTCGCTGCACGGGGCCAGGCTGTGAGGTGGTCAGGAAGGCCCGAGGGAGAGGCCCCCCGTGTGGCCGGAACAGAGACGACTCCTGCCCCCGGTCAGTGTCTGTGGCCACCCTTGCTCTCCGTGAAGCTGGCCAGCTAGAAAGTGAGACTCAAATTTATTCTTCACTCTGCCTTGGTCTCCATCTCAAAGTAGAAAGACAATTTTTTTCCTCAGATGAAATTGGAAAATCTTGGTTGCAGACGGTCACAAGTATGAATTACTACTTCCCGTAGAAGTCTCATGTCTTTTTTTTTTTTTGTCTTTCGAGACAGGGTCTTGCTGTGCAGTTCAGGCTGGCCTTCAACTCACTGTGTAGTCCAGGCTGGCTTCGAACTTGCAGCAATCTTCCTGCCTCAGCCTCCCGAGTGCTGGGATTACAGGTGTGCGTCACCAGGCCTGGCTAATTCCATGTCTTCTCAGCTGCAGAGCAGATGTTCACCTACAGGTCTGTCTAGGGAATTTGAGAGTTCCAGGCCTTTCCATTCAATATTTCCTTGTATTCTCACTATTTTTGGAGACACGGTCTTGGTAGGTAGTCCAGGCTGGGCTTGAATTCACCATGTAGCCCAAGCTAGCCTCAAACTTGCATTGATCCTCCTACTTCAGCCTTCTGAGTGCCGGCCTGACAGGCATGCGCCACCACACCTTGGTCAGCCGCGATCCTTAAGCCCCGGAGAGGCTGGGCAGGAGAGGGAACGCAGGTGTCTGGACCTGGCCCCTCCCACCATCTGCGCAGGGTGAGAAGGAGGGCTGTTGCTTTCTCAGCACCAGCAGCTCTTCATCTGCCCAGACACTCAGGATGAGGGAATCTCTACCCTGACACCCTCGAGCCACCCTCGAGCCGCGTGAAGCGGGCAGGGAAGCCTGGCTGCATGTCGTGTCTGCACGCTGTGCTCTGCAGTCCTGCTGCTCTACAAGTGTTATAGAACCTCTGTAAAATAGAGGTGCTGACACTTGCCAGGGCTCTGGGGAGCGTTCAGCCAGGTAATCTGTGTACAGTGTCACACACGTGCTCAGTACTTGGCTAAAGAGAGCTTGCCCTGTCTGCGTCAACCTGCTGGGAGGTGGCTCCTAATGTCCCCTCCCTCCCTCTCCGAGCAGATGCAGGAACTGGAGCAGAGGCTGCTGGAGGCTGAGGAGCGAGCGGAGAAAGCAGAGACCCAGGTAACGGGAGGGGATCGGTGCGAGGTGTGGGCAGTGCCCTGCCCCTCCCGCGGACATGCGTGGCACACTCACCACGCTGGCGAGCGCCTAACAAGGACGGAAAAACCAGTGTGTCTCAGAACAAAGTCACGTACAGGGAGCTTTCTGTGTGCATGCGGAAGTCCTTGGGGCGGGGCAGCACCGGAGTGGACGTGGGAGTCCAAAGAGGCCGCGCTATGCTGTGGGCAGCCTCAGCGGCTAATTGCGCTTCCTTCGCACGCCCGACGCCCACCTGTTGTGGCCTTGCCAGTGTGTGTGCCCCGGTCCCTCGGGTCGGGGCCAAAGGAGGCTCTTCTGTCTTGCTGTCCGGCACACAGCCCTCTTGGCTGCCAGGACGCGGGTCGGGCTGGGGGTGTGTGCGCTTCGGCCCAGACGTGACACAGCATTTCCTCTCCAAGCACGCTGATGAGGTGGATGCCACGGCTCCAGCTACTTAGATGAATTAGCTGGTCTTCTCAGAATGGCCAAAATTAATCTCTCCCTTGTCAGTTCCTTCTTTTGCCTAAATGCAAGCTTAACAAAGGGTCCCCTCATTAACTGGCCGCAGCTGTCGTGGGTCAGGGCTCTGGCTGGCAGTCTCGTCCCTGGGGGCTGTACACACAGCGCGAGGGCTGTGAACCCTCACGAGGTCATCGGTGCTTTTCAGGTGGGAGTCATGGAAGAGAAAGTGAAACTGTCCAACCTCAGGAACGTGGACTCTGCAGGCAGCCTGCACCGCAAATACCAAGAATTGCTGAAAGCCATGCAGGGCAAAGTGGAGCTCATCAGCCAGCTGGAGGCACAGCTGGAGAAGGAGGTAAGGCACCGATCCCCTCCACACTGCACCGTTGCTCCACAGCCTCCCGAGCCCCTCTGCTGGAGCCCTGGAGCAGTGGGGAACTCACTCCCGCACCAACCTGTTCTTTTGAGAGGAGACTTAATTATCAGAAGATTCAAGCAGGGGTGCAGAGGCAAAAACACCTTGCAGGCAGACTGCTCTGGTTTTAATGTATGTGCCGCCGAAGCAAGCACAGACTTCTGGGGTGACTCCTACTTCCTGCACCTGTTGTTCTCTGACCATGGGCATATTGCGTAGGTCACTTACTATCAAGCCAGGCCTGGTGGCGCACGCCTGTAACCCCAGCACTGGGGAGGCTGAGGCAGGAGGACTGCAGCTAGTTCAAGGCCAGCCTGAACTACAGAGTGAGACCGTGTCTCCACAATAAGTCACTGGTTCTCATTTTCTCCATTTATCAAATAGAAGTTGCAACACTTCATGCGCTGTGGGGAGAGGTCAGCCAGGTAATCTGTGTATAGCACCACACATGTGGTCAGTGCTTGGTGAACAGAGCTTTTCCCTGTCTGCGTCGGCCTGGTGTCCTGCCAGCATGTGCTGCACGGTGTTGGGCTATAGCGGGACCACAGCAGCACAGGGTTGATGGCCAGGCTTGGTTGGCCATTTGGCCCGAGTTTCTCAATGAACTTGAGCAGGCAGAGGCCAAAGTTGCCACTTCCTCTGAAAATCGAGGTCTCCCTCTGAGTGCGTGGGATCCCAGGAGAGGCGACTGCCCAGCCTCATAGCCACAGGCCACACTTGCTGCCCAGAGTACCTTTTGTGAGGACAGGGCCTCCTGTGTTGCCCAGGCTGGCCCCAAACCCCACCATCCTCCTGCCTAAGCGTCCTGCGGAGCAGGGAGTGCAGGTGTGCTGCCTGTGCCTGGCCCTCTGAGAGTGTGAGTGGGACATCCTCCTGTGGGACATCCGTCTGCCGGGTCCTGTGCTCAGCCCCGCCCCTCCACCATCCCCTGAGCTCCGTCACAGCTCTGCCCCCTCCTCCTGCCCTTGCCTCATCTGTCCAGCTCTTCCCTCCTGCCGGGGCGCCGTCCACTCCAGCAGCAGACGCCACGTAGGGTCCCTGACTCCTTTTCTCGGTGCGCCTTCTCTGTGAAGTCCCAGCCAATCCTAGCAGTGCTGTCAGCGCTGGGTTTTTAATCTTTCTTTTTCTGCTGAAGTCCTGTTCACATCCTTTGCTGATATTAGATTGTTCATTTCAAATAGCTCTTCATGTGTGTAATTTGTGTTGTAAATCCTTCCCAACGGGTCCTTTGATTTTGTTTAAGGGATTCTCTCTTCTCCGTCGTACGCTAATTTATGGTTATGATGTGGATTGAGTAGTCCTTTCCTCTGTGGCTTCTTGGGATTTGTGTTATGTGTAGGAATTGGTAAGAACATAGCTATTTTTTTCTTTGAGGCTGTTCCCACGCAGTCACTCGATGTTTCCGTTGGTTTCCCACTTCCAGTTATTCACTCCGCCTGTGACACTGTGATTCACTGGAGTCCCCATCTTTCTTGCAGAAGCAGATGAGAGCCGAGGAAGCAAAAACTGTTCAAAAAAAAGCTGCCAAGATCAAGGAGTGGGTGGCGCTAAAGTTAACCGAGGTGAGTTAGAAACTCAGCCTGGGGTCCTGGCCAGAGAGGGCCCTGGGCTGGGCCGCTCCTTCCGGAGCTCCCCGCCTCCGTGAGGCTCCTCTGCCGCCCTTCTTTTGGTCAAGCACTTGTCTTCTGCTCTGTGTAAACACTGGGGGTGGGGCCTTCCCTCCCTCCGCCTGGTGCTCCCGAGTGGCTTGGTGCTGGGTGTAAGTTTGGAAGGAAAGAAAGTGAGTCGCTTCTGGCCAGGCCCCAGTTTCCACCCAAGGAGCAGCGTCAGGCCGCTGTCTACTTGCTCCCCTTTCTCCTCTGTCCTCCATTCTTCTGCACTTTTTTTTTTTTTGGTCTTTTAGAGACAGGGTCTCTCTATGCAGTTCAGGCTGGCCTTGAGCTCATTTTGTAGCCCAGGCTGGTCTCGAACTTGCAGTGATCCTCCTGCCTCAGCCTCCCGAGTGCTAGGATTACAGGCATGTGCCACCCCCCACCCCCGGCTCTTCTTCACTTTTTGCTTTTATATTTTTCATTTTTCTTTTTAAAAATTATTCTGCCTACACTTCATTCATCTGTTTTAATTGTTTGTTTACAAACCATTGTGGGCTCACCTTCAGTAGGTCAAAGGGAGGCAGCTGCGGAGGAAACCCCAGCCCAGAAGCAGGTCATCCGTGAGTAGTGAGTGGCTCGGCACCAGCCTCCCCACTGAGGCGCTTTCCCCGACCCCGACAGGTGGCAGGCGGGCCCCTCCTTTCCAGCCACACCCTGTTTCTCCGCCCCCCACCGACCTCAGTCCCCTCACACACACAGTGGGGGACACCAGGGGATGAGTGGGGAACCAGCTGTCCAAGGCCAACTGAGGCGCCTTTGGCGCTGCTGTATCCATCCACCTGGGAGGGGCTGTTTAACTTTTTAAAAAATTGTGGCAAAATATATGTATCATTTATCATCTCTGCTGTTTCTGTAAAGCACGCAATGCTGTGCACCCATCACTATTTCCTCATCTCCCTGAAGCCCACCAGCCACTGACTGCCCGTTCCGTGCCCCACCCACCCAGTACCTGGGAGCCTCTGTTTCCCCTTTCCTCTCCGTTCATCTATTTCTGTAGTTGGTCAATTGCTGTCACTGTATTTAAGAAGCTCAGGACCAGAAGCTACAGTGCTGCTGTCAAAGAACAGCCTGGCATGGGGGCACATGCCTGCAATCCCAGCATTCCTGGGAGGCTGAAACAGGAGGATCCCAAATTCCAGTCCAGACCAGGCAGCTCAGTGACTTAGTTAAACCTTGAGTCATTAAAAAAAAAGGACCCTAGATGTAGCACAGTGCAAATGCCCTGGACTCAGGCCCCAGTGCTGCAAAAACAAAACCAAAACAACACAAAATAGCCTCCTCCTAAACAAAAGGACCGGGGTTTGCAGTTTGGAAGGGGGTGGACACACACCCCCTCTGGCTCTGAACTCTGGAGAGGGTGCTCATTCCCAACGGAGGCCCGGGCCTGTGGTCCCTCCCCTGCCCTCCTTCAGGCGCACACCCTTGCTGGGCTGCAGGCTCTTGGGGGCAGAACTGAAGCCTGGTTTGCCTCTGTTCCCCCACAGCCCCAGTGGCCCATGGTAACAGATGCTCAGTAAGTCTGCTGGATTGATTTCAAAAGAAAACGCAGCCACCGTGAGAGTGGATTTCATAGGTAGTAGATGGAGCAAGATAAACCAGACTCGGAGAAGTACATACTGGATAATTTGATTTATCCAAAGTTCCGAAATGGGCACAACTAAAGCAGTACGTAGGGAGGTCCGCTGAGATGGAGAAGCCCGGCAAGTGCGAAAGGGAAGGTGGTGAGCTCAGAAGGACGTTACCTTTAGCAGGCGGGAGGCTTCACTGTGAAGGGCCACACCACAGAGCAGTGTAGCTGCTGGTGATTATTATCATGATTTTGTTTTGTTTTGTTGAGACAGGGTCTTGCTATGTAGCCCAGCCTGGCTTTGAACTCGGGGCAATCCTCCTGCCTCAGCCTTCCGAGTGCTGAGGTTACAGGGGTGTGCCACCTCACTTGGCTGTTATTATTACTTCATTATTATTATTTTCGATATTGGGGACTGAACACAGGGCCTTCACACTGAGTTACATCACTAGCCTTTCTTAATTTTTTTTTTTTTTTTTTTTTGAGACAGGGTCTTGCCATGCATTTCAGGCTGGCCTTGAGTTCACTTTGTAGCCCAGGCTGGTCTCGAACTCACAGTGATCCTCCTGCCTCAGCCTTCCAAGTGCTGAGATTACAGGTGTGCGCCACCACTCCCGGCTTTTCTTAATTTTAAAAAAAATTTTATTTTGAGATGGGATCTTGCTGCGTTGCTGAGTTGCCCAGGCAGAGCTCAACCTGAGATCCTTCTGCCTCAGCCTCCCAGCATGCAGGGATTACGGGCACGTACCACCTTGCCCAGCTCTCACTTTTATCTGTTAGCCTGGGTAGTGGCCCTCCGAGTAGCAGTTTCAGAATCATTTGTTAAGCTGTTCATCGATGTACGATGCAGCTTTCTATGTGTTATGTTTCACCATTCAAAAAGGTTCAGAATAAGCCAGGCGTGGTGGTGCACACCTGTAATCCCAGCTACTTTGAAGGCTGAGACAGGAGGATTGAAAGTTCGAGGCCAGTCTGGACAGTTTAGCAAGACTCTGTCTGAAAAAAAGGAGAGAAGGGCCAGCACCTCCTGGATTCAATCCCCAATACAGGAGAAGCCCAAACCAAGCAAACAAAACAAAAACCATAGAGAAAGAGAAGTGCAGGCCTACCACAGGAGAACTGTGTCTCGGCCCAGACCAGCTGGCCCGGGGGAGGCAGAGGTGAGGGCTCCGGGTGGCCAGCACTGGGGCGGGGGGTGCCGAATGCCCTTTTCCGAAGGGTAGGGTTTTGGTCTTATTTTGGGTTTCATGTCTGACCCTGTCGGCTGTGTACCCTAAATCTTCATTTTCTTTCTGTCCTTTTTTCCTTTTTTCATTCTTTCTTTGTAGTGCTGAGGATCAAGCCCAGGGCCTTGAGCTAGCCAAGGGCTCTACCCCCGAGTCACACCCCTCACCCTCTAAATCTTCATTATTTTCCCAGCTTGAGATGGAGAATCAGCACCTGAAAAGCTGTAATCAGCACCTGATGGAGCAGGTGGGCGCCCTTCAGGCTGCGCTAGAAGGTAGGCCAGTGTGTGTGAGGGTGTGTGCATGGGTATGTGGGGTGTGTGGGGGTGTGTGCATGGGTGTGTGAGGGTGTGTGCATGGGTGTGTGGGGTGTGGGGGTGTGTGTGCATGTGCGTGGGGTGTGTGAGGGTGTGTGCATGGGGGTGTGGGTATGCATAGAGGTGTGTGAGGGTGTGTGCATGGGGGTGTGCATGTGTGTGGGGTGTGTGTGAGGTGTGTGCATGGGTGGGGGAATATACATGGGTGTGTGTGGCGGGTATGTGGGGAAGGGGGTGGCAGGTAGGGGGCGTGTGTACGGGACGTGTGCCGTGTGTGTGGAGGGTGTGGGGCAGAGTGCAGAGCGCTCTCACTGGTCTTGCTTTTACTCCACTCTCAGCCCTGCAGGTGGTGCCCCGGGGAAAGCTGCTAGCAACCCCTGAGGGAGCCCCAGAGCTGGAATCTGTGCCTGCAGAGCCAGGGGCCCAGCCTGTGGGGCAGGACAGTGGTTCCCAGGCCCTGGATTTGAAAGTGGCTGTTCCTGCACCTTCTCTGGATGCTGCTGAGAGCAGAGGCTTTCTGTCTGAAGCCAGAAGCCCCGTGGAAGGTTCTAGCTCCAGCACATTCCATCCTGGGGAAACAGCGGAGGCCAAGGTGCTTCAGCCTCATGTGGAAAGCAAGCACTTTCCCAGCCAGCTGTGCACGAAGCCCGGCGCCTCCAGACGTGGCTCGGCCTCCTGGGGGACGGGCCTGGCCGCTGCACAGGAGAGGGTGCTCCCTGGCCTCAAAGCCTCTTCCGGGGAAGGTGGCCCAGGCAGCAGCTTGACCCTTCCAAAGGTGCGGGCTCCAGGCTCTCCCCAGGGTAGCATCCAGGCGGCCAGAAGGCACCACAGCCAGCCCCACGTCGGACCCGGGCACTTGGAGGATGTGGTGAATGTCGAGACCGGCGCCCTGTCGACCCTCCACCCGCCTGGCCACTTGAAGCTGGAGACCTGTGCTGACTTCCAGGAAGAACCGGAGAAGATGGAAATGGAGGAGCTGCTTCCGGCAAGGAAGGAGGGGGAGAGGGAGAGCCTGAAGGCACCCAGCACTAAGCTGGAGGAAGTGAAGCTGGGGAGCAAACCACCCACACCACCCCTGCACAGGTTTCCATCCTGGGTAAGAGGCAGCCTCGGGGCTGGGCTGGGCCGGGCGGAGCCTGCTTTTCATCGTGTCGCCAAATACCTGACACAGCTTGAAGGAGGGTTTACTTCTGCTCATGGCTTCCGAGGTGTCAGTCCGTGGTCAGCTGGCTGCACGTCAGGAACCTAGCGGCAGAGGGCGTAGTGGAGCAAAGCTGCTCCTTTCACAGCAGCCCGGAACAGAGGGTAGAGGAAACGTGGGGGGAGATCTGTTCTCCAAAGGAGAACCTGCTGTCCTGTAGGGGGTGCGGGTGAGACGAGGCCATGCGCCAGGTCCCACCCCAGGACCATCAGCACACTCAGCTGTGATTGTCAGTGTCTCTTAACCCAGTCAGTTGACAGCTAAGGTGAACGGGCGCATGTGCCGAGCGTGAGCAGAGGCTGGCCTCCTCACAGCAGCACTGGGAGGCCGGGCCAGCTAGTGCGGGGCAGAGCCCGGATCCGAAAGGCGCTGGTGGTGCTGGCTGCTCCTGAGCACTTGCTGTGTGCCACACGCCAAGCTGGTGTCCTGTGCACACTTCCTCATTTCACCCTGTGACTCTTTGAGATCTCTTTTTTTTTTTTTTTTGGTACCAGGAATCGAACTCAGGACCTTGCGCTTGCCAGGCAGGTGCTTATGCCGCTGAGCTATATCCCCGGCGACTCTTTGAGATCTTACTGTACGTGGAGGGGTTAAGAGGCAGGGCCCAGGATCAAGCCACTAAGGTTCGCCTGTTAACTGTGACCCTGGGTAGGTCCCTAAACCCCAGTGCTTCAGTTTCCCTCTCTGTAAAATGGGGATGTTAGTGACTGCTTTATAGGGCTGCTATGAGGATTAGTAGTGTTGGTAGCTAGTGAACTTGCTAGGTAGTAAGTGATGCGCAGGTGTTGGCCGTTTTTGCTTCTGAGCCTTCGCCTCCTCGTAGCATTGGATAACGTGGCCTGCTGTCCTGTAGGGCTGCGGGTGAGACAAGACATGCTCCAGTTCACACACAGTTACACTGGGCGGTGGGTACAGGGGATCACACTTTGTTCTTTTCTTTTTTCTTTTCATTTCTTTTCATTTTGCTTCACTTCACTTTGCTTCACTTTTCTTTTCTTTCTTTAATTGGTGGTACAGGTCATCTAACCTGGGGCCTTCACACTGAGCTACAGCCCCAGCACTTTTTTATTTAGAGACATGGTCTCAGTAAGTCACTAAGTTGCCCAGGCTGGATTTGAATTTCCAATCCTCCTGCCTCAGCCTCCCAGAATGCAAGGACCATAGGTGTGCACCAGCACACCCTGCTTGTTTTTTCTCTTTTTCTTATCCCATGTTTTCTGTGATAAAAATTTAAAATGGAAAGGGGGCAGGGCGGAGTGTTAATCTGCTTCCCAGGGCAGTGGTGAGGGTGAGGTTTGAAGGGCGTGGCGCAGAGCCCAGCAAGTGGGAAAGACCCCCACCTGTGTGAGGAGTTAGGCGCTGGGTCTCCCGTGAGAGGTGCGAACTGCTGTTCCTGCGCAGGGTTGATTTTAGTCAGCAGCGGGCCAGGCTGCCTGTGGAGCCCAGCACCGGCGGACGGGCGTGGCAGAGGCACCTGAGTCTGCTGCTCGTGATCAGACCCAATGCGGCTATGGTGTGCGCAGCACTGCCCGCGGCAGCAGAGGGGGCGGGATGCCTGCAGCGGGGTTGTCCCCCCACGCCAGTGCTCAGGAGAGCCCCACTTTCATATGTGCCTTCCAGGGGCCTCTCTTGAAGGCCTGGTTCAGGGACGTGGCGACCCAGGTACTGATTGCTCGGAGGAGGGCACCTGCAAGACTGGGCACGCAGCCGTGGCGCACACCTGTAATCCCAGCACTCGAGAGGCTGAGGCAGGAGGATCATCTCGAGTTTGAGACCAGCCTGGGCTACAAGTGAGCTCAAGGCCAGCCTGAACTGCATAGACAGACCCCATCTCAAAAAGACAGAAAACAAAAAGAATAAGACTGGGCGCCAGCTGAGTTGGGTCAGGGCCTCCTGAGGGCCGGGGGCTGAGACAGTGCGGCACCATCTCTGGCTGACCTTCCTTCTGGCCGGCTGCCGAACCTCTTCATCATTGTTGTCTTGCTCTGGAGCCCTAAAGCAGAGGCGGGGTGAATGAGGCAGCCTCCGGGCAAGGGATGTGGCGAGAGGACTTAGCAGGCGCTAGGAGAGAGGTGGGCCTCACAGCTGGCATTTTCCCAAACACTGCCAGCTACTGTGGTGGCTAGGAGTGGCTCTTGTGTTCTGTATGCACATGTGGAGAGGGGTGAGACAGGAGAGGGGAGAGAGAGAAAGAGAAGGAGAGGATAAATTTATGTAAAATGTTTCAGCCAGGCACAGTACACCTGTGGACTACACCTGTAGTCCCAGCCCTTGGGAGGCTGAGGCAGGAGGGTCACTTGAACACAGTAGTTCAAGACCAGCCTGTGTAACCTAGTGAGAAACAAACAGAAACCAAATAAACACACAGACAGTGAAATGCTTCCGGTGACATTGTCCACATGAGTATCCCAGCTACAGTCCAGGGATACAAACATTTGGGGCAGCATCAGGTCTTTCCCAAGCGCTCCCTGTCTCAGGAATCAGCCAGTGCAGTTTAAGGAGAAGGTTCCCTTTTCCAGTCCTCTCTGTAACTCCTTCCAAGGGCAACGGCAGCACCGCGCCAGCCTGTCTGAGGCCGCTGAGGTAGGGGCATTCCTTTCCGTGTGAGCTTAAGAAGCCACCAAGCCACGGTGGCCAGAGAGCCCAGCCTGGGCAGGAACCACCGGGGAGATGGCCTGGGGATTCAGACGTGTCGGATCTGTCATTGGCCTTTGGAGTTTGTAGAGCCCTTTTCCTCTTGATCCTTGAAACAGCCTTGCAAGGTAGGCATTGGATGCCCTTTATCAAACAGCGCTTTCTTTTGTTTAACCTCAGACCTTCGAGCTTGAGTTTCATTTCCTTAGTGAAGCCGGGGGCCTGTCCTTGGGTTAATTCCACTGTGGGCAGAAGTGATCTCTTCTGTGCTCAGCGTTATTCCGTGCACTGCCTCCCCGCTCCGTATGCATCCGCAGCCCCTCTGTCCCTCAGCTCCCCCAGTGTGCAGCTCTGGGGCCGCGCCCCAGTGTGCAGCCCCCTTCCTGCCCCACCCGCAGCCCACTGCCCCTGCTGCCTCCTGTGCAGGCCAGCAAGCGCCCAGGTCAGCCCTTGACTCCCTGTCACATGAGTGGCCTTTGTTTTCCCTAGAGGGCTCTGAACAGCCTGGGCCTGGCTGAGGATCAGAGCTCGCCAGGCCTGGCGGCTGCTTCAGACCTGCACACACCCTCAGGGCCAGGGTGCTTTGTAGGTGGCCCTGAAGCCAGCCCTGATTTTACATTATTCCTGTAGAAAGACACAGCGTCCTAGGTGTCAGACACAGTAGCTGGCTTGGAAAAGGGCCTGCTCTCACCGTGGGATTTGACTGCCAGCCCCAGGGGTGAGGTCCTGAGGCCCAGGCCTCTGCATGGGTGCAGCTGAGGAACAGGTTGCTGAGCCGGCCGCCTCTCCGCCCAAGGACAGGGTGGAGGCAGGAGAGGGGTGGGTGTGTGTTGGGCACCCATTACATCCGGGTGCTAAATGTTGGCATCAGCTCTCCCTTGATTCCAGCGCAGCCTCCCGAGGGTCAGCGTTGTCACTCCGAGCGGGAGCTGAGGGAGGCGAGGCTGGGAGTCCCCCGCCAGGCCCAGCCGGCGCTGTGTGGAGCCAGCCGCGCCGCTCGCGGAGCAGGCTTTCCCTCTGCTCCCTGCAGGGGCCGCGGTGGGCGCCGTCCTGGCCCTGACCTCTGGGGCGCTCTCTTTCCAGGAGAGCCGCATCTACGCCGTGGCGACGTCGGGCATGCAGGTGTCAGACGAGTCTCCCCGCAGCGGGGCCGCGGGCTGTGGTGAGTCCGCGTGGGCGGGAGGCCGCAGGCCCTGGGCGCGGGCGG